TCTTTGTCCACCTTGTCTATTCCACGCAGAATTTTATATGTCGTTATCATGTTCTCCCTGACCCTCCTGTCCTCCAGTGTCGTCAGGCCGATTTCCCTTAATCTTTCTTCATAGGACATTCCTCTTAGCTCTGGAACTAACCTTGTCGCAAACCTTTGTACTTTCTCTAGTTTCTTGAGGTGCATTATCAAGTGCGGGTTCCAAACAGGTGCTGCATACTCCAGTATGGGCCTGACATACACGGTGTACAGTGTCTTGAATGATTCCTTACTAAGGTATCGGAATGCTGTTCTCAGGTTTGCCAGGCGCCCATATGCTGCAGCAGTTATCTTATTGATGTGTGCTTCCGGAGACATGCTCGGTGTTGTACTCACCCCAAGATCTTTCTCCTTGAGTGAGGTTTGCAGTCTTTGGCCACCTAGCCTATACTCTCTGTGGTCTTCTGTGCCCTTCCCCTATCTTCATGACTTTGCATTTGGCAGGATTAAATTCGAGAAGCCATTTGCTGGACCAGGTGTGTGTGTGTGTGTGTGTGTGTGTGTGTGTGTGTGTGTGTGTGTGTGTGTGTGTGTAAGCCAATCCGAATCGGTTTTCTAGTGGGTTTCCACCAATCACAATGGCTCATTGGCCATTTTCCGCCACTCAGGACCATTTAACACTAATTCCAGGATCGCGATCCACAGTAATAATAATAATATTAATATTAATATTATTATTATTATTATTATTATTATTATTATTACTATTATATTAACATGGGAGAGAGATTACTAGACGTCCTTGATGCTAGCTTTCTAGAGTGACGCAGCTGACCTTCTAGATGTGTAGTGTGGTAGTCAAGGCCACACACACACACACACACACACACACACACACACACACACACACACACACACACACACACACACACACACACACATACACACGCACACAGAGCAGTCGTAGAGCCAGGAACGAATATGCACAGATAAGAAGGGAGGCCCAAAGACAATATGAAAACGACATAGCAGCGAAAGCCAAATCTGACCTGAAGCTGTTATACAGCCACATCAGGAGGAAAACAACAGTCAAGGACCAGGTAATCAGGCTAAGGAAGGAAGGAGAGACAACAAGAAATGACCGTGAAGTATGTGAGGAACTCAACAAGAGATTCAAAGAAGTGTTCACAGAGGAGACAGAAGGGGCTCCAGAAAGACGGAGAGGTGGGGTACACCACCAAGTGCTGGACACAGTGCACACAACCGAGGAAGAAGTGAAGAGGCTTCTGATTGAGCTAGATACCTCAAAGGCAATGGGGCCAGATAACATCTCCCCATGGGTATTGAGAGAGGGAGCAGAGGCGCTATGTGTACCCCTAACAACAATATTCAATACATCTATCGAAACAGGGAGATTGCCTGAGGCATAGAAGACAGCAAATGTAGTCCCAATCTTTAAAAAAGGAGACAGACATGAAGCACTAAACTACAGACCAGTGTCACTAACATGTATAGTATGCAAAGTCATGGAGAAGATTATCAGGAGAAGAGTGGTGGAACACCTAGAAAGGAATGATCTCATCAACAGCAGCCAACATGGTTTCAGGGACGGGAAATCCTGTGTCACAAACCTACTGGAGTTCTATGACATGGTGACAGCAGTAAGACAAGAGAGAGAGGGGTGGGTGGATTGCATATTCTTGGACTGCAAGAAGGCGTTTGACACAGTTCCACACAAGAGATTGGTGCAAAAACTGGAGGACCAAGCAGGGATAACAGGGAAGGCACTACAATGGATCAGGGAATACTTGTCAGGAAGACAGCAGCGAGTCATGGTACGTGGCGAGGTGTCAGAGTGGGCACCTGTGACCAGCGGGGTCCCACAGGGGTCAGTCCTAGGACCAGTGCTGTTTCTGGTATTTGTGAACGACATGATGCAAGGAATAGACTCTGAGGTGTTCCTGTTTGCAGATGACGTGAAGTTGATGAGAAGAATTCACTCGATTGAAGACCAGGCAGAACTACAAAGGGATCTGGACAGGCTACAGACCTGGTCCAGCAATTGGCTCATGGAGTTCAATCCCACCAAGTGCAAAGTCATAAAGATTGGGGAAGGGCAAAGAAGCCCGCAGACGGAGTACAGTCCAGGGGGCCAGAGACTACAAACCTCACTCAAGGAAAATGATCTTGGGGTGAGTATAACACCAGGCACATCTCCTGAAGCGCACATCAACCAAATAACTGCTGCAGCATATGGGCGCCTAGCAAACCTCAGAACAGCATTCCGACATCTTTATAAGGAATCGTTCAGGACCCTGTACACCGTGTATGTTAGGCCCATATTGGAGTATGCGGCACCAGTTTGGAACCCACACCTAGCCAAGCACGTAAAGAAACTAGAGAAAGTGCAAAGGTTTGCAACAAGACTAGTCCCAGAGCTAAGAGATATGTCCTACGAGGAGAGGTTAAGGGAAATCAACCTGACGACACTGGAGGACAGGAGAGATAGGGGGGACATGATAACAACATACAAAATACTGAGAGGAATTGACAAGGTGGACAAAGACAGGATGTTCCAGAGATTGGACACAGTAACAAGGGGACACAGTTGGAAGTTGAAGACACAGATGAATCACAGGGATGTTAGGAAGTATTTCTTCAGCCACAGAGTAGTCAGTAAGTGGAATAGTTTGGGAAGCGATGTAGTGGAGGCAGGATCCATACATAGCTTTAAGCAGAGGTATGATAAAGCTCACGGTTCAGGGAGAGTGACTTAGTAGCGATCAGTGAAGAGGCGGGGCCAGGAGCTCGGACTCGACCCCTGCAACCTCAATTAGGTGAATACAACTAGGTGAGTACACACACACACACACACACACACACACACACACACACACAAACACACAGCGAGCGATGTAGTGGAAGCAGGAACCATACATAGCTTTAAGACGAGGTATGATAAAGCTCATGGAGCAGGGAGAGAGAGGACTCAGTAACGTTCAGTGAAGAGGTGGAGCCAGGAGCTGAGTATCGACCACTGCAACTAAAATTAGGTGAGTACAATTAGGTGAGTACACACACACACGCACACACACAGTAGATACTGTCACACCAGGGCTGTGTTCATAAGTAGCAGTTTCAGTGTGCAGATTTGGTACCAATCCCTCCAGCATCTTCCAGGTGTAGATTATGATTTATCTTTGTCGCCTACCGTCTAAGGAGTACAGTTCTAGGGACTTCAAGCACTCCCAGTAATTGAGGTGCTTGTCTATGTAAAAACTAGCTGTACGCTTTCCATGATGATGATGATGATGATTATTATAATTATTATTATTATTATTATGAAAACCATGCCCTAAACCCAGTAGGGTCTGTACATTTACCAGGTTAGTAATTTCACCTGTCTTGAAAGAGGGTGTTAGTAGACATCAGTACTCCAGCCGAGAGAGAACCAGTGACCAAGTGTCATCACTGGCTTGGCATCTCTTATTCTGAATGTTCCAGTTATCCAACCTATCATTTTCCTTCCAGCTGCGGTGACGACATTATCGTGTTCCTTGGAAGTTAGAGCTGACATTATCACTCCCACGTCCAGTACACTTACGTTCTGTTGGCTGATCTGAGTTTGTTTTGTAATCTGATCTTCTTAGTTCCTCAGTCTTAGTGTATCGCAGTAACTGGAATTTGTCCTCATTGAGTATAATACCGTTGTCAGTGGTCCTTCGGAAGACTTGGTTTATATCAGTGGTCCACAGGAAGACTTAGTTTATATTAGTGGCCCACTGGAAGACTCGGTTTATATTAATGGCCCACTGGAAAAAACCAAACCATACCACGGAAGGGGATAGAACCCGCAATCAGAGTCTCAAAACTCCAGACCGTCGCGTTAGCTACTGGACCAGCTACTGGAAGACTTGGTTTATATCAATGGTCCACTGGAAGATTTGGTTTAAATCAGCTTAAAGTCTCACTGAATCTTGTATGGATGACACTATCATACTGAGTCTAGTATCGTCTGTGAAGGATGACACAGTGTTGTGATGTGCCTGACTCTGTCAGAAATGAGAATGAGGAAGAGAAGTGGTGCGAGTACCGTGCCTTGGAGGACACAACTTTTCACTGTAGCAGCCAGTGATTTCACTGTTGACAGTGGTGGCCCATGCTAACCTTCCAACGGTGTATAAATATACCTAGATGGATGAATCTTATTGTAGCCAGCTGGTCCAGTGGTTAACGCACTGGCCTGGAGTTTTACCACTAACTCGCCAGGAGTTTAATTCCCACCCGTTCCGTGGTTTGTCTACTCATTGAGCTCTCTGATCGAGTTCAACACACATCTGCCTACTTTTCCGGTTATTCCTTATGTATGGGTTTTGTGTCTGCCTTCCGTCTGCCGCAGCGTCTTCTGGAGGTCAGCGCCCCCGCTGCCCGGTCCCAGACCTGGCCTCCTGGCTGCTAGCCTGATCAATCAGGTTGTTGGTATCCGCCGATCGCAGCCCAGAGTGTACATCACAGTTCTGCTGATTAGCAAGTTCTGTAGTGAACTTATCGAGGTCTGTCCTAAGACACTCGTTTGTGTGTGTGTGTGTGTGTGTGTGTGTGTGTGTGTGTGTGTGTGTGTGTGTGTGTGTGTGTGTGTGTATGTGTGTGTGTGTGTGTGTGTATGTGAGAGACCTTTTATCCAGCTCTGTCTCTGCTTAAGTACCACCCCCAGGATGCCACCCACACCAGTCTTCTAACACCCAGGTACCTACTTACTGCTAGGTGAACAGTGACAACAGGTGTAAGGTGACCAACACCCAGGTACCTACTTACTCCTAGGTGAACAGGGACAATAGGTGTAAGGAAACATACCCAACAACGTTACCACCCGTGCCGGGGATGGATCCCGGAACCCACAGTGTGAGGTGAGTGCGCTACCAACCAAACCAGGAACTGTATTTAATTTCTCTCTCTCTCTCTCTCTCTCTCTCTCTCTCTCTCTCTCTCTCTCTCTCTCTCTGGTTCACAAATAAAGATTACCTTGGTAGACCACAGGTGGACCATAGCTGGACCATGGACGAGTGATGGACCACAGATGTGTTATGGACCACAGATGAGTGGTAGACCACAAATGAGTGATGGACCACAGACCAGTGGTGGACCACAGACGAGTGATGGACCACAGACGAGTGATGGACCACAGATGTGTGATGGACCACAGACGAGTGGTAGACCACAAGTGAGTGATGGACCACAGACCAGTGGTGGACCACAGACGAGTGATGGACCACAGACGAGTGATGGACCACAGTCGAGTGATGGACCACAAGGAACACAGGTGGACCGCTCACCGTCCCGGCAGGTAAAACACTGAACTCAGCACAGCCATACCTGTCTATCTGAGTCAACCTCCACCCCAACCCACCCCACCCACCCCAACCCACCCAACCCACCCCAACCCACCAGAACCCACCCCAACCCACACCACCCATCACCACTACCACCCCACCAAGGCTATCAACAGCCTCCTCCTCCCTCCTCTCCCTTCTACAACAGTTCTTACGAAAAGAGTAAATTGGTAGACAGATACCACTCACGGAGGTAGACAAATACACATATATACAGGGGCCAGGAGCTATAAATCGACCCCTGCAACCACAAATAGGTAAGAACACACACACACACACACACACACACACACACGCAGGAAGGAAACAAGTGATGGTACGTGACGACTGACGAGGTGCCAGAGTGGGCGCCTGTGACGAACGGGGTTCCACAAGGGTCAGTCCTAGGACCAGTGCTGTTCTTGGTATATGTGAATGACATGACGGAAGGTATAGATTCGAAAGTGTCCATGTTTGCAGACGATGTGAAATTAATGAGGAGAATTCGAACGGATGAGGATCAGGCAGGACTACAAAAGTATCCGGACAGGCTGCAAGCCTGGTCCAACAGCTGGATCCTGGACTTTAATCCCACCAAGTGAAAAATCATGAAGATTGTGGAAAGTCAAAGAAGACCGCGGACAGAGTACAGCCTAGAGGGCCAAAGACTACAAACTTCATTCAATGAAAAGGAACTTGGGGTGAGTATAATACCAAACACATCTCCTGAGGCGCACGTCAACCATATAACTGTTGCATCATATGGGAGCCTAGCAAACCTAAGAATGGCATTTCGACACCTGAGTAAGGAATCATTCAAGATTCTGTACACTGTATCCGCAGGCCCATATTGGAGTATGCAGCACCAGTTTGGAACCCACGCCTGGTCAAGCACTTCAAGAAATTAGAGAAAGTGCGAAGGTTTGCAACAAGACTAGTCCCAGAGCTAAGAGGTATGTCCTACGAGGAGAGGTTAAGGGAACTCAACCTGACGACACTGGAGGACATGAGGGACATGATAATGACATAAAATACTGAGAGGAATTGACAAGGTGGATAGGGACAGGATGTTCCAGAGATGTGACTCAGCAACAAGGGGTCACAACTGGAAATTGAAAACTTCCAGTTGTGGCCACAGAGATATTAGGGAGTATTTCTTCAGTCATAGAGTTGTCAGAAAGTGGAACAGTCTTGAGAGTGATGTAGTGGAGGCAGGATCCATATATAGCTTTAAGAAGAGGTATGATAAAGCTCATTCATCAAGAAGAAAGTGGACCTAGTAGCTACCAACAGTGATTCGACCCCTGCAACCACAAATAGGTACACACACACACACACACACACATATGCACAACCATATACACACACAAAGAAACACACACTAACACACATATATGCACAACCATATACACACAAAGAAACACACACTAACACATACACACACAGATACTATCACACCAACAAGTGTTGGATGAAATACACACAACTGAGGAGGAGGTGAAGAAGGTGCTAAGTGACCTTAATACCTCAAAGTGGTGGGACCGGACAACATCTCCCCGTGGGTCCATAGAGAGGGAGCAGAAATGCTGTGTGTGCCACTAACCACAATCTTAAACACATCCCTTGAAACTGGGCAACTAACTGAGGTACAGAAGACGGCAAATATAGTACCCATATTTAAAACAGGAGACAGAAAAGAGGCACTAAACTATAGACCAGTGTAATTGACGTGTATAATATGCAAAGTCATGGAGAAGATTATGAGGAGAGTGGCGGAGCACCTGGCAAACCTGAGACTAGCGTTCCGATACCTCAGTTAGGAATCGTTCAAGACTCTGTACACCGTGTACATCAGGCCCATACTGGAGTATGCAGCACCAGTTTGGAACCCACACCTGTTCAAGCATGTCAAGAAATTAGAGAAAATGCAAAGGTTTGCAACAAGGTTAGTTTCAGAGCTGAGGGTAATGTCCTACTAAGAAAGGTTAAGGGAAATCGGCCTGACGACACTGGAGGACAGGAGGGTAAGGGAGAACATGATAACGACATACAAAATACTGCGAGGAATAGATAAGGTGGACAGAGACAGGATGTTCCAGAGATGGGACACAGAAACAAGGGGTCACAATTGGAAGCTGAAGACTCAGATGATTCAAAGGGATTTTAGGAAGTATTTCTTCAGTCATAGAGTTGTCAGGAATTGGAATAGTCTGGCAAGTGATGTAGTGGAGGCAGGAACCATACATAGTTTTAAGACGAGGTTTGATAAAGCTCATGGAGCAGGGAGAGAGAGAACCTAGTAGCAACCAGTAAAGAGGCGGGGCCAGGAGCTGAGCCTCGACCCCTGCAACCACAATTAGATGAGTACAATTAGGTGAGTACCAAGTTAAACTAATCACATTACGTTCCCCGAGGTCTCTACAGTTCCCTCGGTAATTATAAAGTTCCCTGAGGTCCCTACAATCACTCTGGTAAGTTTGAGGTACCTAAGTGAAGAACTAACTGTTGAAATGTGTACCATGGTCAGTTGCACTCTGAAGGATGTACAGAGAGGAGTAGGAACATCAGCTGTCGGGCGAGATGCCACCCACACGAGTCAACTAACACCTAGGTACCTACTTACTGCTAGATGAGCAGAGACAGCAGGTGTAAGGAGACTAACACACAGATACCTACATACTACTAGGTGAACGGTGACAGTAAATGTAAGGTGACTAACACCCAGGTACCTGCTTACTGTTAAGTGAACAGTGACAGCAGGTGTAAGGAGACTTGTCCATACCTCTCACCCTCGCCCAGGATGCCACCCCCCAGCATTCGAGTTTCAGTACACAGCTGCATTCTAAGTTTTGCGGTAATTCCCAGGGTATGTTGCTGCCTCCAATGCCCTGGGCTTCCCAGGGCATCATGCCTATGGGATCAGGATTTCAAAATACCTGAGAAAAGTCGTTCTTGTTCAACAGTAGCTAGCAGTCTACCCACAACGTCTACACTCAACTTTCAACAAAAATATATATTTTTTAAGACTGTAGATGACTGTACCAGGGTTGCTAAGACTGTACCAGGGTTGCTAAGACTGTACCAGGGTTGCTAAGACTGTACCAGGGTTGCTAAGACTGTACCAGGGTTGCTAAGACTGTACCAGGGTTGCTAAGACTGTACCAGGGTTGCTAAGACTGTACCAGGGTTGCTAAGACTGTACCAGGGTTGCTAAGACTGTAGCAGGTTCTTACAAGAGTGGAATACAAGTCTTCGCGTTAATAAAGGAGTGTAGGCTGCCACAGACTGCCTTGTGATGGAAGTGGTGGAGGCCGCAGGTGGGACCTGAGTCAGTACTCTGACCACACATAAATGAGCTGGGGAAGGCCGGAAGAGCATGACATGGTACTTGAGCAAGGTTAGCACAGAGCTATGTTGTGGCGTTGGTCATGGACTAGGCCGCAGGGGGCGTTGACCCCCCGAAACACCCTCCAGGTAGACGCCAGGTAGACTCCAGGTAGATGCCAAGTAGACTCCAGGTATACTCCAGGTAGGTTTCTGAAGTGACAGATATAGAGTGCTGATCCCTGGCACTTTCAATAACACTGGCACTCACAATAACACGGGTACTCATAATAACACTATCACTCACAACACTGGCACTCACAAACCAGATGATACTGGAAGACCAGATGATGCTGGAAGACCAGATGATGCTGGAAGACCAGATGATGCTGGAAGACCAGATGATGTTGGAAGACCAGATGATGTTGGAAGACCAGATGATGCTGGAAGACCAGATGATGCTGGAAGACCAGATGATGCTGGAAGACCAGGTGATGTTGGAAGATCAGATGATGCTGGAAGACCAGATGATGCTGGAAGACCAGATGATGCTGGAAGACCAGATGATGCTGGAAGATCAAATGATGCTGGAAGACCAGATGATGCTGGAAGACCAGATGATGCTGGAAGACCCAGGTGACATGGTAAGAAGAAATCTCGAGGCAACACAACAGGTCGCTGGACGCGCATCTTAAGTCAAACATTACTGTTGAGAGTCACATCATGAGGTGTACATCACAGGGGAGTCCAGAGGTTGTTCTCTAGCTCTGCACCCCACTACTAGAGCTTCAGATCACGTGACTGTCCCTCTGAACCTACACACGTCATGGTACTCGAACCAACTCTCTCTCACACACACAAACACGCTTTTTGTCTAATGCCTGGCCTTGGATGCGTTTTTCTTGTGTTACTAAGAGTGTTGCGTGTATCAGAAACACACGCACGTATTGCAATATAAGTCGGGAACAACGATATAGGATTTCAGAAGGAAAACTGGACCACTTTCAGCCGAGGGACTGACCCCCTTATAACTACCTCGACTGATGTCATTTTTTCTATACTCACCTTGAAAAACCTATTGTGTAGGCAAAACATATATATATATATATATATATATATATATATATATATATATATATATATTATATATATATATATATATATATATATATATATATATATATATATATATATATACAAGGAATTCGCAAGAGCAGGCGAAATATACACAAACACTGATCTCTGGCCGAAGGAGACACGAACCTTGGAAGGTACGCAGTGCTATACCATTCTTACCACACTGGACAATACCGTGGCGCCTAGCACAATGCTAGACGTTGATCCAAGGCAGCCAGCTTTCAAGCAGGAGGCTTACAGATTTTCATCTCATTCCCTGCATGCATCAGCCTTACTAGAGATTTTAACAATGCAAGGAATTCGCAAGAGCAAGCGAAATATACATATATATATATATATATTTTATATATATATATATATATATATATATATATATATATATATATATATATATAAAATATATATATGTATATATATTTATTATTTTTTTTATTATCACACTGGCCGATTCCCACCAAGACAGGGTGGCCCGAAAAAGAAAAACTTTCACCATCATTCACTCCATCACTGTCTTGCC